TTTTTCCAAACTCAAGATTTATAACTAATGATGAATTACTATGATTTTTTATGGTTAATTAAGTATGTATTTGTTTGGTAATTTATATGTAATGTTGGGTTTTTGTGTGAAATATGTTCCTTCTCCAAAAAAATGAATTCGATTATGTTATATCTATCAATTAATGTGATGTAAATATTAGGATTGGAACTATAGCTTGAAGGAACTCTTAAATGAGCCTTTTTCCTTAACCCTAACTATGAATTTCTCTTGTAAATGACTAGAATTGTTAGGATTGAAGATGTTATTCTGAAATTCACTATATTATTGAATTATTGTGATGAATTCGATGTAAGTTCTTGATGATGATTCCTGGAAGAAATATGTAAGTCTTCTAAAATCATGATTTTGTCTATTATGTTGATGTTGGCATATAAATTGATGTATCTACAAAATTTAAGTATGTATGATGTTGCTATGCATATATGTTGTCCTATGAATATGTTAAATTTGGAATCAAGGTAAGGATATAATAATGCAAGTTGATGATGTTTACCTTTTATGCCTTACAATCTATGATTATGATATTTAATATCACAAATGAAGGATGTGATTAAGGGAAATTCTCATCTAAACCTAAAGACCTTATAATCATGTTTATCCGATGAGTTAATCTCCTATGTCCTATGATAAGTTTTATGATATATTATGACTTAAAAGTTATTCAAAAATGGACTTTAGCTTAGCACCGATGAACTAGATATAAGAGGTGTCCCTTTCTTAGTTGGAAGGTAGGTTCACAATGACTCTCATGAGATAGAGGCTGCCATATAATGTGGAACTATGGGTCTCTAATATATCTCCTATTACTTGAACTATGTTTGCCTCCATAGAAATACTAGCTAGTGGATCCACCTAGAATGCTATTTTCATATTTCGGTTCTTCCTTGGCAAGTAGACCACCTTCTTTTGGTGTGGGGTTTCATGTATTCGGACTCCATGTTTAGCTTACATGTTCTAATGTCAATTAAGGCGATTGTTCCCCCAAGTAAAATAAAGTACAAGTAAATGGACATTGACTAGGGTAACTTGAGAAGTCTACTTAGTACAGGTAGGGGTATGAGACTGTACCTAGATATTGCACAAGTTGGCTCTAAGGAAAGTCCTAGGAGATTGTTGTCATGTAATATGAATATAAAATGTATAATGCGTATGATATATGATGTTTCTCTTATATGATGTTGACTATGTTAATGAACATGAAATGGTCTATGTTGCTATATGTGATGATGACTACTTATGATGTAAATTGTATGAAGAAAAACAATTCTTATGGTCTCCTGTCATGTTTACTTGATTATGTGGGGTTATGGGGCTTCACATGAACATTGCACTTGTAGGCTTGTGATGGGATTATTGGTAAGTGTTTTGTATGTTATGTTCATATGAACTATTAAACATGAAAATGTTAATTTGACTTTATGATGATATGTCTTTGGTTATGATCAGGCTTTATGTTGTTGTGATCCTTACCTTGTACATGCTCTCTTGTATGTTTATTAAAGACTTTCAAATGACTTAGCATGCTTTAAAAAGAAATGGTCCTTTTCATGCATGTCTTCAAATGTTTATGTGTTATACCCATACTTAGTACATGTGGCGTACTAACCCCTTACTTTATACAACTACAAATGTAGGGTCAAGCCACTGAAGAATAAAAAAGTTGATTGAAGAAGCCTGGAACTCTTTCTCCAAGTGTTGGTAGGTCATGTTCGCGGATACTATCTTTTAGTTATTTTGGCTTATGAAGATTTTAGTAGGTTAAGAGATACTCTTTATTTCCTTCTATCATTTTTTTTGTAGTAATGCCTATATGGCATATTAACATTGTATTGGCTAAGTTCAAGATCATATTCTTTAGATGATTTTTATGTGAGACAGTTCTTAGACTATCGTATGAATGTTTATTATGTTGTTGTAAAGCCTGAGTAAGCTTCCATGTGAGAGGTCTAAGTATACCTCACATAGTATATGTAAAAGATTTAATTTTCCGTGATTTTTAACCTATGATATGTTATGATGAATGTTAAGAGATTTTTGGAGTCCTCTGAGAGAACGACGACGCCGGTCGCATCTGGGGGGTGCTCTCCGGATTTGACAATACAACTCGGTTGAATGATCCCTTGATCCAACATTTGTTGTACAAGACTCTTAATAATATCCTTTTTCACTGAAGGATATCTCTAAGGTCTCTTATTCATAGGTTCAACTCCAGAATGCAACACAATTCTATGGTCAAATACACCTCTAGAAGGTGGTTAACCAACATGTTCTTCAAACAATGGAGAAAATTCTGACAATACCTCTAGTAATGTAAGGTTTTCTTTAGGATCTTTATCAACTGCTACTTCTAATGGATTCCACTTGTCTTCATCACTTTACTTTGGAATTACTTTAATCATACAAAGCTGAGACTGATTTCCAAAGTGTTTTGTCATATTCCCATCACTATAAGTTAACACTTGACTGCCAGACCCCAAAGTAAGTGCTTCCATCCCTTATACCAAAAGCCCATTGTTATGTTTCTGAAATTTAACTTGATATCACCTAACATAATAGTGCCGATGAAACCCAGCACAACTCCACAAGAACCTAAAGGTTATAATAGAAAATCAGTAGAAAACTCCGCTCCTTGTAGTAACCATGTCACAAATGTCATCTTGTCCACATGCATATTACCATTTGCTGCGACTACCATCTCAGGTTTATTAGACTTTACTTCACAGCGAATTGCTTGACTAGATCAGGGTCAATGAACTTACGAGAATATCCTGTATAAATTAATATGTGTAATGTTATTTTTGGTGATAACCACTCACCTTCAAGGTTCTAAATCCCAAAGACCCATTTAACGCATGCATAGAGATCTCTATCTGTTCCACAGGTGGCCCCAACTCTAGTTTTTCATTTTGTTCCTCTTGCAATTCTCCACCTTGTCCCAGCAGTGAATCCTTCTCTTCAACTAATTCTTCCACTTCCAACAAATACAACTGATTGGAATTTTTACACTTATGCCCATGCATGTGCTTTTCATTGCAAAGGTAACATCGATCATTTGCCCTTTTTTCATTCATCTCCTCTATGCTCAAAGTTCTTCTATTAACTGCCTTAGAAAAACTAGAAATATTTGTACTGGGTGTAGATAACAGAGGCTTATTGTTACCAATCCTTTGGTCCATGAATGTTTTTGCACCCATTTGAGACGGATTAGATATTGGCCATCTCACAAAAGTTAAGTATGCTTCTTGCTTGCTTGCAGTCCTGTATACCTGTATAAAGAAGTTGGATAGGTGATTTTCACAGCAATGTTCAGCTCATGTTTTAATCTTCCAACAAAGCAACTAATTGCATTCTCTTGTGACAAATTCACCCTAGTCATATGTCTTTCAAACGCTAATTGATATTCCTTAACGCTCCCCACTTGTTTGACCTTCTTGATTTCCTCCATGGGATCATCAAAATCTTTCCAAATCTCTCCACCAAAGCCATCACCTACTCATTACAAGTAGTTGCTTGTAAGTAATTTCTAAATCTCATGAATGAAAGATTCTATTAGATGACTTCTCCTTCGAGTTTCATTGCAAATACAACTACTATTACCTTTTCCTCTGCAGCTACATTTTCCTTGGAGAAATATTGTTCAATCTTGAACACCACTATCTCAAATCTTCCACTGCAAACTTGAGGAATTCCATTTGGGACCATCTTGAATAGTTTGAATGACGGGTGTTGTAACTAGTAGGACTCCTGGGTCTGTGAACTCTCCTTTCAAAGTGGTGAATTCTCTCATCAGAATGTGGTACAGTCAAAGGACCACCTTCCATAGGATTTTTCTCTCTCCCAGAGTCTCGATTAGTGACCAACTGTTCCTTCAATTCCATGACCACTTGATCCAAACTCTTCAGGTTTCTAACTTCCCCTGCCAACATTCCCATTTTTTTTGCCAAATTCTGTATCATTTCCTTCAATTCCCCCATTTCTATTGGAGAATTATCAACAGATCTTACTCCTTTCTCCATTACCAAAGTTACTTGATAGCAGGATTTCATAATGAATTCGAGGATCGAAGCATTGTTTCAGGATTTCTCGAGACAACATATAGTAATGAAGAAGAATAGGAAGAGAGAGTTTAGAAAGATTGATAGATATCTGTATATTCAATATGATGAATGTAACTGCTAATTAGAATGTCTATTTATAAAGACTCGAGTGACTTATCCCATCTAACAAATTCAGTTACAACTTACTTCTAACTATCTACGACTACACTGATTATTGTAGCTTAACAATATTTAACTAACTTTGTCAACTAACTTTTGAATTCCCAAATCACTGTAACAGTTTGCCTCAAAATGGTTCCTAGGAAAGATGTTTTAAGTTATATTGTGTTGGTTATCTCAACAGATGAAGAGAGAATCTTTCCATGGAAGATGAACTGTGGATCTAAAGCACCTAATGTAAAAATGCATGTGTAACTTTTTGAACCTTAGATGGTACCATTGATATTAGTGACACTATCCTAATCAATGTTTTCAGCAAGATTATGAAAGAGGAAATTTATCTCATAGATTTATTCACATATAGCTTCCTTTAATGTATACGCAAATATACGAGCTTGGTTGGTAGGGATAGCGGAATAAAGAGTTTAAAAAGTGCAAGGCTTTGTAAGAAGAAGGCTATTAATGCATAAACATGTGATATTATCACAACAGAGGCATCTTTGATAACTTTATCACTTCAATGCATAAACATGTGTTAAAAAATTGCCAACTATGCCTCTTTATACTTTTGTTGATGTAATTTCTTTTGACGACACCATTTTTCTATCAACAGAAGTAAATTTTGATGATAGATAAATGACGCTACACACTTCATTCAATACACTGCAAACATGAATTCTTCCTTTCCAACAAAAAACATATCTAAGGCAAATCAAGATTACTTAAAAGATACGTCTACCACTTAATACATATTTTCTTTAAAGAAATAACTGTAATATTATTGGTTGAAATCTTAGGAAAAAGTCCAAAAACTGATTAAACATTATTGAAAACAGTGCTTATTTATCCTTCTTACAACTTATCTAGAAGTGATTGTTTTCTCTTGTGTAATTCCTTTGCCTTCGCTGCTTCTTTCTCCTTCCCATAATTTATTTCTGCTCCATCTCTATGATTATTCTTCCAAGCCACATAGGTTTTCCACTTGAAATCATGAAATATATTATGGATAATCCAATACATAGTCTACTTCAATAGCCTATAAGAGCAACTTTCCAAAAGTCACTCTGACAGTTAGAATTGATTTCTCCATTATCTAGTCCAGATATGGTATCATTTGTATCCAATACCCGAGCATCGCCAACAAGAAATTTACCAACAAGAAATTCCAGTGCCTACTGCTAAAATGCTAGATAGAGAAGAATTCATGATTATTGAAGTATGGAAACATGTAGACTTCCTATGTAAAGGCTACATTCTGAGTGTTTTTAGGATGACTTATATAATGTTTATAGTGCAATGACAACTTTGAAAGAGTTTTGGTATGGACTTGAGATGAAATATAAGACAGAAGATGCATGCTTGAAAAAGTTTGTGGTCGCAATGTTTTTAGACTATAAAATGGTAGATATTAAAACTGTTGGATCAAAAGTGCATGAACTTCAACTTATTTTCATGATCTCATTGCTAAAGATATGGTAGTAAATGATGATTTTGAAGTGTCTGCAATGATCGAAAAGTTACCTCCTTCGTGGAACGACTTCAAGAATTATCAAACGCACAAGAATAAGGAAATGAAGCTTGAAGATCTTGTGATTGAGCTCAAGATTAAGGAAGATAAAAAAAATCGTCAAAAATAAGTCTCGTAAGAGTTTGGCAATAATTGGGGTTAATATTGTTGAAGAAGCTCCTACTAAAGACAAGAAGAAAAAGAAGTCCAACGGACATAAGTTAAAATAGGCCAAATAAAAATTCAAGGGCAGCTGTTACAATTGTGGTAAGGCTGGTTATAAGTCTTCTGACTGTCGTACTCCAAGAAAGGACAAAGATAAAGGCAAATGAAAAAGTCAAGTAAACATCGTGGAAGGGATGGAAGATGTAGATGACTTGTGTGCAATGATCTCAGAGAGCAACTTAGTTGAAAACAAAAACATAGTTTCAAATCTGGGATAAATAATTTGAAGATCACTACCACAACAAAATCATAATTTTTTTACACACAGCATTGAACGAAAATAATTAAGCTAATAAGAAGATAGGTGAATCCGAGAAAAGTAATCATAAAATAGATAGGCAAATCGAAGAAACTAAAAAAAGATAGATGCATACCGAAGTTAAGAAGGTTGATTATAGTGAAACCTGAAAGAAAACAATCAGATTTAATAGTTCAGCTAACTTTATTTTTACAACGTTAAATTAATCAAGAATAGTTTAAAGTATATCATACACATATTTTTACCAAGGGAAAACCTCTAATTTTACGAAGAGGGGAAAAACTTTTCTTTGTCGTTTTCCCCCTTTCTTGTTGTTTCTTGTTGACACTTATCCTGATAAAGCGCAAAATTTTACATACCCTTAATAGTGCGAACAAATTCCATGAAGATCACAACCTATAGCTGAACCATCACCGATAACATCGGTTAATTTAATTAACCCGTGTATTACAAATGATCAGAATAATATTTGTGAACTTGATCACACCAAATAAAATGAGTAGGACATATCATCAAACACAATGGGGGCATATTCCACTTCAATAAATAAGAAACAAATAGCAAATAAGTGAAATAAGAAAAGAGTGATAGGAACAAAGAACTTACCAAAATTCAGAGTTGAGATCAAACACAGAACAGAATCCGATTTTATATTTATCTACATCAAATATGTACCGCTTGCAACAGTAAAAATAGGAAACGAACAATCAAAGAAAAGCATACGGCTTTTTAGTTATCTTTATTTAGAAATTTATTAATGTGGATCTATTTCTTTTTCGACCGATAATTGATTTAGTCAAGCATTTTTAAGTAGAGTGTTTGCTTTGATATAATTATAAGATATTGAATTTTTGAGGCTCTTGATATTTAGAATGAAACACGATTTTTTTCTAAAAATAACTTGGTTTGTCATTCGATTTTTAAAATCCACTTTAGGTTTCCTATTAATTCGAATCCTCGCATTGTAAGGCTTATTAAAGACAGAATAAAACCAAGTTCTTGCACGGAGTGTCCCTCCAAGTATCATTTTCTTGAACCTAAAAGAATTGATGCAGTTATTTGAATTATCAAGTCATTGCAACGAGTCTTGTTGTGGAAATTTCAATGAAAGCTACTTAAGAGACAAATCCCTTTCACTTTGAATTTTCATGTTGAAATAAATTATTTATGAATTTTACTATCAAAAAGAGAGAGGACAGGGGGAAAATCAAGTAAGGAGACTGCTGCCTTCATATCAAATCATCGATCAATTACAAGTTTACAAAATGTTGTCATTCTTAAGTCAATGCACAAGTTCTTCTAGGAAAATGTCAAATATATACTTTTTGCGTCCAAAAACCATCTGAGGTTTAATACATCAAATTTACTATTTTAGAAGTAGGTAAAATGTGTGGCAGCAGAGGTTTTTTAGGCTCAAAATAAAAAAAATAGGTTCACTTCCATTTCCACATTTTTGTCATCAATAATTAACAAGTACGGTAACAATACTATCATCATATATTTATATAAAGGAGAATCCTAGGCCTGCCTACGTGGTGCCGCCAATAATCAGAGTTACATTTTAATTTATTTATTTTCAAAAATAGCCTTCATTTTTTTTATAAAGAGTTGCAAGTTTTATAAAAAATTATGACTCTTATGAAAGGTTGTGACCTTTTCGAAGGGTTGTATTTATTCCAAAGAGTTGTAACTTTTTCAATAAGACAACAATCATTTGCTCACACTACCCTTTTTTATCTATAAATAGAGGATTTTTCTCTAATTTTAAAACAACGAAAAGTTTGAACTATTTTTTCTTCTTCTTCAAGACAATTAAATATTTGTGTATTTTGATCCTGTTGAACATTGACTCATTGACACCATTATTTTTGTATCAATATATTGGTGAATAAAATCATTCTATCCTAAGAGGATTTATTCCTTGAAACATCAGGTATTAAACGAAAATAATTTCCTTAAGGGGACACTGTGCATTCAATAGACTCAATTTTTTTCATTCAATTTTTGAAGATCCTAATATGATTTTTATAGTCATTAATTTATGCTTGTATTATTAATTACAATTTTTGAGTACATGCTTTAAACTTTCACTACTAAAAAGTAGCTAAAAACGATGAAAGAAAAAGCGATGGACGACGTAGTTCCAAAAAGCGATGCCAATAACCACACTGTCCGTCGTTTTTTAATAAAAATATTTTTTTTAAATTTGTTTTTCGAAAAAGCAACGGACGTCATTGCTTAGTCCGTTGCTTATTTGTGGATTTTGCGCAATGTATATATATATAATGAATAATTAACTATTTTATATATATAGCAACGTAGTCCGTCGCATTATATTAAAAATAAATATTTATTAATTTTAAAAAAGCCATACTGTCTGTCATTTTTTATTAATTTAAATTCTTTCATTATTTTTTTAAATAAGCGACGGACGGTATCTTTTAGTCTGTCACTCTTTGGTTAAAATGTTGGTCAGGTGAGGCATTATCTACCTGTCATTCCCTAGGTTAAAGAAGTTGTATGCATCGATGAGGTCTTCACCACATATGAGATGGAATCGTGAATATAGAAGGCTGTCGAATGTCTTATCTCATCCGTCTGATGGTGAAGCATGGAACCAATATGATAATGTATATCCTGATTTTAGCTAGTGAACCAAAAAATGTTAGATTCGGGTTGTGTTAAGATGGCATTACACCATTCTGTGATGTAACTTCGCCTTATTCATGCTGGCCGGTATTTCTTACTCAGTATATCTTCCTCCTGAAATGTGCATTACCAGTCCCTACATCATTCGAAGTTGTGTTATTCTAGGTACCCATAATTCAAAAAGATTGATTGATCTCTATCTACAACCATTGATAGATGAGCTCAAACAATTGTGGTTTAATGACGTTTTTACTTATGATATATCAACTAAGCAGAAATTTGTTATGCGTACTTTTTAATGTTGACTATTAATGATTTTATGGGATACGGCATGTTGTGTGGCTGGATGACGGCTGTAAAGATAGCATGTTTGTATTGATTGGAAAATAGTAAGGCATTCACTTTAAAGCATGATAGAAAAATGCATGGTTTGATTGTCATCGCCAGTTCTTGGCACTGGATCATGATAGAAGATGAAAAATGCATTCAGGAAAAATAAGGTGGAAAGTGACCCCCACCTCCGTACTTACAGAGAATCAAATTGGTAAAACAGTTTCTCAATTACCTAAAGTTGCAAAAGCTTCACCATCTAGACTTCCTTAATATGGTCTTAAACATAATTGGACAAAACAAAGCATAATATGGGAGTTGTCCTATTGGAAGGACAATCTGATATGACATAATAGTGATGTGATGCACATTGAAAAAACTTATTTTGATAATTTAGTTAACACAGTGATGGACGTTAAGGATATGAAAAAAAACAATGCAAAAGCAAGAATGAACTTAAAGGAATATTCTAGGAAAAAAAAGTTATGGTTACGTAAATTACCTAATGGTAGAATAGCTAAGCCAAAAGCTCGCTTTTCATTCACATTGGATGAAAAATGTGAAATTTGCGAGTGGGTTAAAAATTTGAGGATGCCGGAGGGCTATGCTTCAAATTTAGGAAAGCGAGTAGATAAAAGGAAGATATGAATGAAGGAAAATTGATAGGTATGAAGAGTCATGATTGTCATGTGTTCATGGAAACTCTAATTCCTATCGCTTTTAGCCATCTACCAGAAAGGATATGGAAACCAATCACAAAGCTAAGTCATTTTTTTAAAGACTTGTGTTCTTGAAAGTTTTTGGAGAGTAGTTTAGATCCGATGGAGGAAAATATTTTTGTTATTACACTACTAAGTTGGAGAAGATATTTCCATGTGGTTTCTTTGATGTGATGGAGCATCATCCAATTCACCTTCGACAAGACACCCGACTCGGAGGTCCCGCTTAAACAAGTATTTGAGATATTCACTAAGTTATATATTCACCAATTTTTTTATTAACATATATATACACAAATACATGCAGAAAGATGGAAGATCCAATCAAACAATAAAGAAAGAGGAAAGACATTTTATCAAATTTCATAATAATTAGTGTTGATTAACAAACTAAATACTTGAATGTAAAATGATCAGTTTGTTCATAAACACATGGGGTAGGGAAGCCATCTATACATGCTTTTCTGAATGACTATACAACTATGTAAGTGTGCAATCACTAAGTATTCAATAATATATTCATGTTATACGAAATTATATTATTTTGAGATAACAATCACCTAGGTTTATGATGAATCCTCAAGTTTTAAACATTCACAATTAGTGAAAGAAGTAGCACTTGGACCGGAATCTGAAGTATTGACAATGAATAAATATTGTGTCAATGGGTTTATGTTTCAAACTAAAGAAGTTTCTAGGTACAAAAAAAATTAATAATAGTGTTTACATACAAGTTGATGTGGATGGTATTGGCCAAACTATTCAATAATATAACTAAAGTTAAGCACAACATGAAATATAAATTTTAAGATCCTTTCATCATTGCACAAAATTGTATTACGCTTCATATCCATTGCGTAGAGGCAAAGTTGATTGGTGGATTGTTATAAAAGGTAAGATTATGGGAAGAATTGAAATTGACTATGTCTTAGATGTGGCGTATCAAAATGATGTTGCCATTGTTCAACAACAAATTGATGATGAATTGGAAACCACACTAGAACATCCTAAACACATATTAGAAGAAGTATCGAATGATAAGTTACTAATTGTTGTGAAAGAAATGTATGAGAATGAGGAAAATGATCATTTGATGACGAAGAATGAGACAATAATGTAAATGAAACAATGGAGGAGGAATAATGGGACAATGATGGAATTGAAACAAGTGAGTAGGAATAGTGTAGAATAAATTTAGCTACTACATTTATCTAAGTTAGTGTATTTTGCTAATTTTATTGAAATTATGATAGACATCGGGAGCATCTTGGACTTAGCTACTACATATATCTAAGTTCATGCAAATGTCATTTGGCGATGACAATGCTAGACATCGGGAGAATCTTGGAGTTATCCAGACTAAACATGCTAAAAAGAAGAAGTCTAGGAGACCCATAGATCCCGAAGATGTTGCAGGATCTATTTCTTCTATGTCAAAGCGCATTAGCCAGGAGACACATGTACTTTTTGTTCTATTTGGTACAAAAGATCCCCAAAAATGTTATCCTAATTTCTGTCAATCAGTCTGTGCTTCCTCTACTTCATAGGCGTTGCCTTTAGTACGCTACAAGTACCTCTTTTACAGGCTATTCTTGGATGATGACCCTTATCGGTAGGTAACCCATCTCCACAGGTTCATCTCTCAGTTATCTATCATGAGGATTAGACATTGTAGTAGCGTGCAGTCAGATGCTACGGATGGTACGCATACATTGACTAGCATTATGAGCATGTATCAGCCTCAACAACAACTACACCTAATGCTACTCCAGATGATAGAATGCCTCCTCTAGTTCTTCACCAGATTGACAAACTTGGTAGAGTCATGATTCAGCCGGATGAATCATCGTAAGTTTGTTTTGTTATCTATTGATTAGTTTATTTTATTTGTTTCCTTTACTTTAATATATTATTCATGAACTAACATATTTATTATCTATTTTTGAGGTGGCACACGACAAAGAATGTTGTCGGGGCTTTAAAAGAAAGTGTTAGGAGACTCTATACACAGGCTTATGACCCCTGGGGGAGATCCCAAACGGTATACGCCAGACGTTAATAAATTTAAGGTATATATTTTTGTAGATAATTATAGTATACTTTACTTGTTTTTACTATCTAGTTAACATTATTTAATATCTTTATTTAGATTATGTCTACTTGGGAGCCGAGATACAATTAAGTCATTTTGACCATATTTGACAGGAAGGCATCCACCAGATTGTCTGCCTGGCTAAAGAAAGTTCGCGATGACGGTGAATGCTCGGATTGGATATTGCTGCATGTTTATGATGAACAGTGTCTGTATTGGAACACATACAAGTTTAAGGCAATAGCAAACAAAGCCATAAAGGCTAGAGTCAGTCTTAAGGGTGGCTCGT